GGCGCTTTAATGATAATGTGTTGGGATCTGGTGGAAAGTCAAGACTGCTGGAGTCTCTGGTTTCCCATCTACACCGAAAATTATTATCCTGATAACGTTTAGGTGTTTTCTGTGTTGATTGCAATTGAATGAGTCTAGACGGTATGCTACTGCTCAAAGGAGATGGGCAACATAAATAGGGAGATGTGATAGCCACATACCTGAGTTATATGCAAAACGAGGCACTGAATGGCCATGAAGTGAGTTCCCTCATTCGGTGGGCTGTCAGTCCAACCAGGTATGTCGCAAGTTAGAAAATCGATCACTGCCGTACAAAGAACAAAAGTAACGGCTGCATTGGCCTATTCTAATGGAGAAGGGAATGAGGCATAAAGTATTTTCATTGTGTGAGACTTCCACATCCTAGTTTGTACGAATGCAAATTTATGAATTCTGTATAGAGGGAAGAGCTGAATGAAAGTACCAGAGACAATAATAAGCATGACATGACTGGGTGGAAAACTGCAGCAACCGGGTAGCTGTGTTGCTGATAGTCGTCCCATGGTACAGGATATGCAGGGTGGAATCACTGTGAACTTCTGAGGGTGTTACGGGCCACCTTGTAAAGACGGCTTGGTAGTTCCGCAAAAGAAACACGCCTCAAGATCCTAAGCAACTTATATCTTCATATGGCTCCAGCACATTAGATGTACCATGCGCATAACCCTGTGTGGTCCTAGGAAAGCTTCTGGAGTCTCGGGCCCGTAAATTGGGTTGTGAGGATACTTGGCCACCTACTCTGACGTATTGTGCGGATGTTTCATGTAGTCTTCCTTGAAACATATTTAACACTCATCAGACGGGGAGCAAACCACACAAGAACAGGGGCCGCCACTCACCCTACCATTTCTAGAGGTACACCTGCAGGACCCCAAATATTTTAACCCAGAGCGTGACTTCTGGTGGTGTCTAGTGTGTCCATGGATAAGACCATTCGAGAAGAAGTGATGCTAACCGGAGGTACATCGTGGGCGCTCACTTACATTCAACCTATCCATGGCCCAGTTTACTCAAATAAGATCAATACAGAACTGTTCTTGAAACACGTAAAAATCCCGTGCTGTCTTGGTTTTCCTCAGTTTGAGTTAGCGAAATAGAAATTGCACTATAAGACCGCATAGTCAGTATTCTGTCCGCCGATAGTCCTGAGGATTATGATTATACACTGTCGCATAGCTCGCGCCGATTCAACTGGAGCAAAAATTACACTGAAGGAATGATCCAGCGACGCAAATGTCGCTTGGACTCTGTCTTTTTGTTTTTCTTTACCTGCTCTCATTATTACTGGCACTACTGACGCTATGAATCTTGGCTGGGCAGTTGTGTATGGTCAGTGGTCTATCTCTACCCTCTGTATCCACGGCTACCGCCTCTTCATTCCCAATAGTCACTGACTCGATAGATACTAATTCGCAGTATTTCCTATTATTGGAGATGCCTGCTGCTGTTTAACCTTTGAGTGGTCAGACGACATCCGAAGATCCTAGAAGTGTCACAACTTCGCACTGCTCCCTCTTATTCAGGGCTTCGAAATTCGGTCCGGTGGGTCTTTTGTGTGTAGATCAACTGAAGACCTGGAACCTCCCCCGCGTGACCGAGAACTCAGCCTACAAAATCAAACGGCTGTAGATAGATAGTAAAAGGAATTGATTTTACCGATTACTAAAACTGCGGTCTTTTCTCACTAGCTTTTCGGCACGTTCTCGAAGATTGACACAATTTTTATGACCCGTTATCATAATGAGAGATTTCGCCTACAAATTTGGCCGAATATACTGACCAAAGACAGCTTTAAACGGTTCTGACGCCAAGGGTCTGAAAACATTAAAGACGATGGTCAACATATAGAGGTGTCAGGAGCCATTCCTAGAGGTATTCCTACATCTGGTTAAAGAACAACATGCTGCAGTAGGAGTAGGTTTGGCGCAATTGCTCACCAAAATCATGTTGCAAATTCTTATGACTCAGGTAAACGGGTTTTTTACGGCTCCTGTACATAATATTCGCAAGTCTTTCAGAAAGATACTTATATCATTGTGGTGATCAACTTTGTACCAGTTTCCGAAGTGCCGGCACGTTTTGGTGGACGAATATTCATGACTAAACACAAATGATGAGAGGCTAATCCCAGGGTATTGCTAGGGAACTCTGAGCAGGGCAAATCATTCTAAAATCGGCCACCTAATAATGTGGTTTAGCCTTTCTTTCCAAGATACTTCTCCAGTCATCTTAATAAGCGTGTCTTGATTCCAGCAGATGCAACCTTCCACAGCTTTCAGATACGGTTCGTCCCTTTTGGAGGCAGGCTATCAGTATGAGGTGCAAGGAATCTTCTTGTCCAAGGACACAAGCTGGTGTGTGTCACATGATGTGTCCGATCTGAACACATCCTACAGGCAATGAAATCCCAAATTTTATGATAAATCGTCTCCAAACGATTCGTTCATCGGTCTTATCATATTCTCAAGGACATGAAATATCATATAAACCGTCAATTCGTTTGGCACATTTTGTTTGCTACCATTCTTAAACGCAGGGTGACAAATGTTCCTTGTTGAACCTCTTCTTAAGCCTCTTTTCATTGGGGAAAATAAAGTTTGTGCACACTCTGCCATCCTTGATGACCTAACCCGAAAGAGTTCCGGAGGCGTATTCCAGTTTAAATGCTCATAGATACCCTTAATGTTTACTATCTCCGCCTCAGAAAAATTTACGGCATGCAACAGTAAGCCAGTACTGGAACAGCAGTTGTAGTGATAATTCGTTTCTGGATGATAAGATCAAGCTATTTTAAAAGAAGTTGGTAAAATAGCATAAACCGGTCCATGGCCTGGAGGACGCAGACGTTTCTGAATCTTTGTATGGGCAACATGGGCAGTGAAGTGTGAAATACAACACAAGCTGGGAGCAGATACTGTATTATGATTAGTAATATAGCATCTGTATCGACTGGATGATATCTCATCGGAAACTTGTATTTGAATGAAGTGAAATGTTAGGTAGTATTTGCCTCGGGCTCCTATGCACGGTGAAAGCATTGCGAATATAACAACTGCGGCCTAGACAAGCGAATATGCACACGAAGGACAGGAGCAGTATTTATGAAGTGCAGTTGATATCTGCGTACTCCAAAGCAAGGTGCAAACTGTGAAGTTATTTACGTTACTTCATTCAAGACAAGTCATCACTTGATAGATTAACCTACTGATATTGGTTCGAAGAGTGACGTAAATTGCTGTCTCTTCCGGAAAGGTTTACCCAGTATTCCGAAGCGTCTGTTCCGAACAGCCAACTTGCTACACTCGAATACTAACAGCACTCATCCATTTGTATGCATTAGACGACCTTGTAGTCTTGTACTCATTTCTTAGCTGAAGAACTCAGCAGCGGAATATCCAAGAAACGTCAAGACCACCTCGAACTGTCGTCCTGGATTGTTTCAAACTCATGGCTGCACTAGCCTTTGGTTATCCTCAGAGGTTATTTCTGGGGAAACGTACCTCTTGGACCCATGTAAGTGGCTGGAACTGGCGGATGAACTTCCTGGCCAAGTGCAGAGGATCAAGTAAAAATTGTCTGAAGGTGAGTCAACGCTGAGTTTTTTTAACTTCTACGCTCCTCCTTTCTTATTTTTTGTGACCACAGTTATTGCCGCCTCCAGTTTCCCTAATCCCTTCTCGAATACTTCGTTTTGATCGTCGAAGACGGAAGGTCCCTATCAGTGAATCAATCAAGGGGATGCCGCACTGAAGGGAAACTATCCCCGGAACCACGCTTCCCTCTATAGCACAATTCAAGTGGGGAAAAGCAGAGCTTAACAATAATAATGGCGATTCATTTTATTCCAAACAGTTTGTGGTACAGTTCGGCATTCTGGGCATAATATGTCGCAACAACAACAAAATATAAGTGCACACATACTTCTTTATAACATTTCGAATTGTTTTATCGCATAAATTTAAGCAACGTAAAGAATATTAGAAGCGGGAAGATTTTACATTGCTGGTTAAATCATTGAAATGAGATTTTTAACTGTAATGAAAGATGACGTGTAATTTCTGTTTAACGCTTTTTCCCTGACAAAATATGCGTGCTAGGTAAGGTACAGTAGAATTATTATGCCTATTTGTACGAGCGTACAGCTTGTGTGGTTTCCCCTTCCCCCCCCCCCCCAAGGAGATAAATGGAGAGAGCTGTGAATGACGAGGATGCCCAGTGTCAGTTAAAATGACTGCAGCTAGTTGCATGCTGAAATTAAAATGTCTATCGACTAGGGTGTTAATCAGCTGGCCAAAGGCATAACACCCACCCTGTTGATGGCTTCCAGAGACCTAAGGAACATAACATGGTCCTTTTTTAGAAAGCCGGGAAAGATCAGTGGGGAATTGCATACAAGAATAGGCAAAATACAGGAACTAATAAACCGTCAAAGAAGAGGTTGATCATGCTTATACTTGTGTAAGCATTTTTTTAAGTCAACAAAATATGAGACGACCAACAAAGGATAGTTAACGCCTGATTTGCTTTCTGTAGAAGTGCTATCAGCACTGCGGCGGATGTCATGAGACCTAGGCAGCCCACACAAGTTTACGCCTGGTGCCTTCATGAAGCGATCACTCTACGCTTTAGAGAGACTTAGAGTGATCAGCTGCACAAATTATACCAGCCCAATATACTTCGAAGCAAACCTACACAAGGCGAGTATCAACAAATGACTGCAGGATGAAATGATTGAATAGATCAAGAATAGCAGGCCAGCCGTCAGCAGTACATCAGGAGCCAGAGCACCGTCCCAAGGAAGGCCGAAGACTCTCTAACGCAGTAAAATTCTTCGTAGTAAGTAGGCAGGAGACCCCATGCCAGAGGAAATGAAAAAGAGGCATATCAAATATAAAGGACAGACGTGTCAGGAGAGACGAGTTCACCGTTTTTTTGATGCCACTGCGTCGATCGGCTTCTGAATGAGTGAGGATAAACAACTCGATATGCGAACTCAAACAGAAATAATTGTGAGCGTTCACAGGATGCTAGAGCTGCTAAGCAGTCATCGTGTTAAGGAATCCGACCCCTATTATATCGAACATTTAGAGTGGCCAACAGATGAAATCACCCCGGAAAACCTACTGGTAACTGTATTAAACCGTCGAGACTAGCCCGACCAAAGTTCATCGTCATCGTCAGTTTACTCTCTGCCTGGTTTTAGATCGAAGTTTCGCTCACGAAGGCTCAACAGGCCTGGTAAAAACTGAAAGGCTATGAGTGGCTAAGCAGAGCCCCACGAAATTTAGCCAAGATCCTCCAAGAAAAGAGATGATAACTGCTAGGATCCTTTGATCAGTGACTGCCGTATGAGGACAGCTGATGAGTTAAATACTATAGGACCTATAACTCCTACTGCCATGACCTCTTCACAAGAGAAACTTCTAGAATCTTCTAAGACCCAGGTGACTCCAGCCCGCCTAGGACTGACCACCGGAAGTTGAGACCCAATCAGGGAGAAGCTGCTGTCACATACGAACACGTTCGGATCAGTTCTGTCCGGCAGACGAGAATGTAGGCGTGGAATGTTACAGGACCAAGGGGAAAATTGGTGGAGATAAGAACGACCTGGAAGGCTTGCACGGTAGCATCCACCTATTTGCAGGATCCTGACTCTGACCGGACATTTCTGGCAAAGATTATATCGACAGATGTGGAACCTATCTACAGGGATAGAGAGCCTCAGTGGGAAGATGGAGAGACTATCGACGAAAGCTCCCTTTTATACCTAGGTGCGGTGGCGGTTTAACTATTAAGTATCTCAGAGATCCCGTATGATACTACTCCCCTTTTTCCACCTCAAATACCTGTTTTGAGCTGTTTGTAGGCCTTTTACTAGTATTTCTGACCATAGAGAATTGGTCATCAACAAAATCCTAGTTACAGCCCTCGCATATTTTCACTACGTAATAATCACCGACGGCTGCAGAGCACCATGAGCTATTGTTAGTCGATTGGGAGATATTGTACCATATCTCTCAACTCCAGGACTGGTACCGCAGTTAAGATAGCCTCTGTCTCTGATGAGTGGGGTGGTGTCACATGTTGCGCCACATCCAGACTACATTTTGACGAACAACGGTCTCCTCATCAAGAATATATGCCCAGTCGCCTCTTGCTTGTAGCGATCATGCGGTAATGACCTGTTCCTCATTGACGGGGGATTTTTCATGGCAGGAGTTACTAGACACCCTCCCTTGCTGCAGTAAAGCTAAGAAACCATGAGAGGTTGACTCAAAAGTGCGCCACGGCCTTGGAACTAGAACGATTTTACGGCGGATAGACGGTGTAAACAAGTGGAGGCGGTATTCTCTGGGCCTTCCATCACAGTCTGCTGGGGTGAGATACTTGAAATGGTTGAGAATCCCGTGACTATATTGCAGGACAAAAGGGTGTTCCAAACAAAAGGCAGGCCTAGGTTAACTTTCGATCTTTGTGTTGGGAATCAACTTACCCGACATGAGAAAGGAACCGCAACTAATGCAAAACTAATGTTGGTAGTGATGAGTTTAGCCATTGCAAAACATGGTAAAATGCTTGTAAAGTGATTCAAGAAGCTCGATTTTTCCATGCTGCAAGCTGTGTCGGCCAGCAGAGGTGTTATTTCCACGGTAGTCCCCAAAGGGGATACGTCCAACAGTTCGAAAATAACATAGGTTGTGAAATTACGAACTGAATAACAGCCTGGTTTTTCCGGTGCTGAAGCTGAATTGGCGTGAAAGGATACAAGCGGGTTGGTGGAAACGAAAACTTGTCTTTCTGAGTTCAAAACACCTTTAGAAGGCAGACGGTGCCGCACCCGAGGAAAAAGAATGCCACACACCTGAAAGCCAGCATCTGGGGTTTTCAAGGGAGAAACCCTACGACCTTCCCTTTCGTTTTCTTTAACTATCTTCGACCGCAGATTTCCTTACGCATCCTTATGTGCTAATGACATCAAAACATAGAGGGTGTTAGAAGAGGATGATCACTTAAGAATACACCAAAACAGACCAAGGTAACTAGGATCCTAGTAATTAGAAAACGGTCGTAGCTTCAACTGGGTTAGGTGTTGGGTAGTGCACATTTGGACCTATAAAGTTAGGACAGCAGAATACAGAGACAACTCAAGCTGATCACCGCATCATCAAATTGTCGGCGTAAACCCAAGAGTCAGACACCATGAACAATAGGTCCATCTAAAAAGGAACACTAGGTGGAAAAAACGTCATCCAGTATTTTCCGTGCGAGCTAGAAGGACGCTTTCACACCATATTTAATTCTCATGGTTTTCAAAACTTACATTTGGCCGTACACTCAAGCCATCAATACAGTAGCATTCCTGGCACTTAAAAAAGACTCAATTTCCTCGGGAAGTCCGGAAAACTCCGTCCAAAACCATTATCGGATTAGGAAGGGAAACTGAGGTACCTGGATCTTTTCATTCTGAGAAATCATCGAAAGAGCGTGATCTTACAACATCATGTTAGGCGATGCACTGGGGCAGCCATGCAAAAAACCGACCTTGCTAACAGAACGAGGCCAAAGAGATGGCAACTCATCACATTGATGCATCAGAGCGCTAATACTAGGTTCAAGCCAAATTTCTTTTCCTGAAGATAATGTACGTCACAAATGCTATATTGCCAGGTGCAGTTGCAGCCTCCTAATTAGGGTCCACTAAGGTAGGTTGGACACTCATTTCAACCTATGGTTTACCAGTAACACAAGTAAAGTGTCAGAGACCTCAACCTCAAGTGTTGAGTTACTTGATCTCAGATGGTTAACATTAAGTAATTCAGTCTCTTGGTGTCCAAAATACAGATGAGTCTGTCAATACATGAAAGAGAAATAAACTACTCTGATTTTATTGTAATCTCTGCCCAATTTTGTTTTAACATTAAAAACGCAAGGTAGCATTAGTGTAATGAAAGACACATTTTCAACTGTTGTACTGCGTTTGCATGGCCTTTGCTTTTTTCTTGCAGTTTGAGTCATATCAGGCTTGTGTTTATGTTGAAAAGAAGTTTGAACTCAGTGACATTTACTTTGCAGCTGCTGATTTTGTAAAAAAGCTCGTAACTTATGAAAGTTTACATTTTCCTTATTACTTAGGTATCTGATCAAGAAAATGGCGAGATAAAGGACAATATTTCACTGTACTGTAATAAAGAAAATACAGTTGACGGCTTCATCTCAGTTTCGAGCCCTTCGGATATCACTTCTGGTTGTGTGATTCAAATTGTTTTAAACGGTAATTAAGAGTATTTTTATGGTGTCAAAACACTTCGTGTTGCTGGGCTTTTTGAATCAGTTTAATAATTCATCACATTACCCTCCTTTGCAGCTTTCTTAGGCCTGTAAAATATCTTCCATTGTTAGCATAACATATTTTGTAACACGTTGGGGATTATTTCAGCGTAGAAAATCTATACACTGGGATGTTTGCAGCTTTGTATGATTTTGATTTATGTTACATAATGTCGCTAACCTAATATATCCGTCAACTATTTCATGCTCACCTAACAGGCTAATATAGAACTGTGCACCTTTTTGATTATTCTGAGTGGATTTTTACATTTTTTAAGAGGTTGAAACTGCACGTGCAGATGAAAATTGTACATTGTTGAAAAAGTCACATTTTTCCTGAATACAGAAATCTATTCTAAATTTTCGCATGAGTTTCAAACCATTAGTGTATTCATTGGAGTAACAGTTTTTCTTCTGGCGCTATCTTTTGTTCAACTTTTGAAAATTGCACAAAACCACGTTTGACGTCTTAAGACAAATTTTTTAAAGTGTCCTAAAAAGTGTGATCTGTAATGAGGTCTCACCGTAGTACTTAATAACTGCATGTCAGCTTTGTGCGCAAAATTGTGAAGACCGAGATACATTTGAGGGACGTTGATGCCTGCTTCGTAAAATTTAATGCACGTTATGTCAGTATGAAGGTAAAGGATAAAAAGCTAATGGGCTTACGTGACTAAATCAAGAAACTATTGGTCATATTATTATTTCAAGAGTTAATCTGAAACTTTAGATGAGGAATCCAGAAAGGAGATTGGATACGCTATACAGCGCCTCCAGGGTGTACAAATAAATTCACTGTATTTTAAGGTAGGTATGATGCAGAAATAGACTGAAGGGAGCTAAGTGAGTGCAAAGTTTTTGGAGATATATGGTCACGAAAAATCCTGCAAACCTTTCAAGCCTTCTAGCTAAATGGTATCATGATTAAGTACATAGAAGTTATCCCACTGAAGTTAAAATTTGGTTTGAAGGACTAACACTTGTAAAACGGTTGGAAGTTGTACAACTATTGACGTATACGGAACTCTAAGAAAATAAATCCTAATTAAAATCACTTATTTAGTGCCACCTAACTTCCTATCGTGGAATAAAGAGTCAGAAGTGAAAGCTATTGAAACCCTATGAATTGAAGTGCTTTCTTAAGCCACAGATCTTTTAAAAAAACACTATTTTTATAAGTAAAAGCCTTTAATTTAATGAGCTTATCAAAGATTTGAATTGAGACTGCCCATCATGGTGTCTCCATCTTTAGTTCCTTAGGTTGATATGAAATTTGTCTACCAATTATATATATATATATATATATATATATATATATATATATATATATATAACAATTTGAATAGATGCTGTAAATTAACCTGTAGTTGACCTTGGTCGAATTTTTTGCAGTTCAAATACATTTTGATAATCCCGTTTTAATTTCGAATCTTAGCCTTGCTCAGTGACTTCATTGCTCTGGCAGAAAGAGAGTTGTCAGTTTAAGACAAAGTGGAACTAATATAAATGTTTTATTGGCGAACTTACCAACACCTATTGTTAGTTGTTACCATTCTACAGGACTTACTTTGGAATTATCAACTAGTATATGCAGACCGGACGCCGCCTATTTTAACTTGGTAGGTTCTGAGTGACTTTTCAGGAGCTAAATTTAGTATCTCCCTTCTCATAAACATAAAGCAGCACATTTTTTCAGTAACTGTTACTTAGTTTCCGTCGTCATATCATCCATACTGCATAGTTAAACTGCCACTTGTAGAGCTTTCTCCTTTGTCACGAGACCAGTTATTATCGAAGATAAAATGTTCATCCCGTCATAACTTTCAGTGGTGTTTGCTCCATGAAAAGAGTTTTCATTAAGTGGTGGTTTATCTCTTTAGCATGGTTCTGTAAGGGAAAATATGTCTGTTAGTTATGTATTTTAAACTTTTCCTCAAAAGATTCGAAGACGATTAATGGTTATAAAGGGAGGTTTACTCGTGAACATATATATATTGTAGAATATCTTTCCCGATGAATTCGATTTCATTTTCCCTGGTTTTTATTGCAAACAGAATTCCATTTGTCAATAGCATGCTGCATACCGTATCTATTTCCTTCTTATCAAGGATTTCATGAGTGTAGAATGTTTTGTCCTGGCAGACTTTTACGGCAGACACTTTTCAGTAGGATTCCGGCACTACGTTTTCAGTATATAACATTTTTACAGAATGTCAAGTTTATTGATGGTACTTCCATCAAAGTGTCAAGTCTGATTTCATTTCATTGTGTGATTAATACTGGCCCGTTTCGTGTCATATAACTAAGTGTCAGTAAACAGTTACTCCAGTAACTCATCAGTTTCTGTATTGTTTGCACAGTACCTATATTGGAGAGGAGGCTTTTATCACGCAGAATGTAGAAAAGTCTCAAAAGTTAAGGTATACCCGTTTACTACCGTCAACAACATAGTAACTACTTTGCACAACTAATTTACACTTTATAATGATTATTTCAGGCGTGTATATTGTTGCTGTCTACTTATTTCTCATTAAACAGTGATCACTGCCAAAAAGTCCAAGAAAACGACTAAAAGCTATCAAAGTTTGATTCGTTTCTAGTTCTCTATTCGTTGGCGGCAACTGCTAGCCGAAAAATGAGGCTTACATTTATACAAATTTACTCAATAAAATGTCCACTTGGAAGAGTATGGGTTAGGTTTTAAGAGATTAAGTAAACGTGAGTTGATCAACTCACAATATATTTATGTCAAAAGGAAACCAGCGACTGAAAAGAAAGGAAAGCGAATGATGATTTATAGTTGTTTACCAAACATTTTGAGGCTGTTTTTTTAATAAAACAATCAATGCCAATTTTTGACATGGCAGTATAGATGTGGAGTTTTATAATTCTTAGTGTTAAAAGAAGGAAAAAAAAATGTTATAGATTACACTCAAAATCTGAGCTAGTCATTTTTTAAGGTGGTAAAGAAGAAGGTGTATAGCCTTCCTTTAAAAATCCGCACTTCCTGATGTTTAAGGATTTACAATAGTTATTTACATCTAACATATTTTCACTCCTTATTTAATATTATGATTATTGTTATTATTTCAACCAGATATTCATGAAGATCGTTTTATTTTAACGCGATTTTCATCACAAACTGACGTCACCTGGAGGACCATTAAAAAACTTAGGAGCATTAGACAGATGTCACCTCCTAGTTTGTGATTGTTAGTCGGTGTGCACACATGAGCTTGCGAAAGATCAAGGCTATGACTGTCGCTAGGTTAGAAACCCATTGAACCACTTTTTCGAGTTCCTTTAATTCACAATATGGTTTGACCACTAGACGACATACTTAGAAGTCATTCGTCATAACTCCTGACTTGTCTGACTTTACAGGTTAATTGTCATCCAGTGACCAACCAAAGGCAACGTGCCCACTACAAGACCTGATGGTTATGGGCTAAAAACTTCATGTAGCTACACGTGTGTGATTCTAAGGAGCTCCACATTGGGGCGAAAAATCTATCCGGTGGCTCTAGGCTTCCAGTGGTTTAGTAGCTGATGTCAACCCGGCTACTTGCCTGGGGATAATCAACCATGAAGTTCAAGATATGATTTGGGTCTTATTTAGGACTAAAACACTAAATATGCTGACATTTCTGTGAGCGATAACATCCCAACGATAAAAAATCCCAAATAATCTAAATATGTGTTGGATCTTTGGAGTAAGCTTAGTTTTATTCCTTTTGTCACTTCTAACCCTTATTTTCCATAAAAGTTGGTAGGACAATTAAATCTTTTTGATCCCCATTAGGCCAACTTTACAAGATACTTCTTCATACATTTCATTTTTGAGTGTAATCGAATCAAAGTGAGAATTTCGCTGTCCATCTAACATTTGCAGATATTCAGATTTTGGCGAATTGTTTCCACTTTCTTGGATGGTATGCTATAGTTAGTAGGGAAATTTAGTGGAACTAGTGTACTGCACCTCATGATTTTATCTGCATTTCAGTGTTCCACAGGACTCTTAATTACTTTCTTCGGGTGTATATTTGAAGTTTAATTTGAGGAGTTATAGTTAGCAATGGAAAAAACCAAAACTTGATTAGCGAGGACATCTTATAGCACAATCCACAGGACGCCGAAATGATAGCTCGAAGATGACTAATTCGACTCTTCCCGTGACTTTTCTTTTAGCTTCAGTAATCATTCTAATTTAGTCAACGAAATCTGTTAGAGATAAACATATTTTCTGAAACCTATGTGCATTGTAACAAGGTTGAACTCAGCATCGTTGTTGACTGGGATCTTTTGTCTGAACAGCGTAAAGTCCCTTGATTGAAAGTTTGATAGCCCTGTCTTTTGAAAAACTGAAATTCAATGCATTTAGGAAGTAAGCATAAGATTAGATATATGAATGCCGAATTTTGATGACGTTCAAGGTTGGTAAATGTTTTGGGAATGAAAATAAGCAATATTTACTCCCAACAGCTTAAACACACACAGCTTTGAGTGACTGAACAAAGTTAGCAATGAGTGTAGGCTATTCGAGGGGCGGGAAATTTCGCGGAAGCAGGGCGACATCTAGATGTTGATTAAATCTCGAAATGACTGCTGCAACTGTCTGCAAACAAAGTAAAGAAGAACTCATTCCTCTTAATGACCACTGATTACTTGAAATATACAAACTTGACATTCGCATATTTGGTGCGGAATAATACTGTCTAACAGAGATAAACTCTTACTCCTAAATAATCAGTAGTAACTCTGATTATCAAACACATATTTGCATGCGACAGCGTTGTTTGAAGTTAGGGGAAAACTTTGACCATGAAAACAGCTATCAGGGTGAAAATGGTGTAACACTGGCACTATTACTTAGTAAATCATAGAAGTGGATAAAACAGTGTGACCAAAACTCTTCAGTGCAGCAGTTTACAAACTTCCCTTTCA